CAAATTTGGTGGTCGGAAGTGAGGTGGCCACTTTTCATCCACTCATTCAATGGGTGAGTAAACAAGTGGGGCCCATTTTTAGCGGGGAACATTTTCAAGTGGACACTTTTAAATGTGTGGATGAGAACGAGTTGCCTCACTACCAAGCACCGAATGTATGTTTGGTACAAACCATACTTATTTCTCAAATTTGGTGGTCGGAAGTGAGGTGGCCACTTTTCATCCACTCATTCAATGGGTGAGTAAACAAGTGGGGCCCATTTTTAGCGGGGAACATTTTCAAGTGGACACTTTTAAATGTGTGGATGAGAACGAGTTGCCTCACTACCAAGCACCGAATGTATGTTTGGTACAAACCATACTTATTTCTCTCGTATATATATATCTGTGTGTGTGCATATCTGCGCGCGCGTGCACATGCGTGCATGTGCGTGTGTGCGTGTATGCGTACGCATGCATGTGCGTGTGTATGCGTATATATATATATATAGAGAGAGAGAGAGAGAGAGAATTGTAAAGCATACAGAAGTTCCCATTTCCTTCCTCCTTCAAGTTCGTGTCAACGGGTAGTTGTGTGGTGATATGCATAGGCTTCTAGCCATATCAACGATGTGGTTGTCCTCCTGGTGTTTGATAAAGATGGATGTGACAATCCTACATAAATGATCCTTATCGGTCATCCTAAACTTGTTTACAATTATAAGTCGCATGCTAGGGTTTTTTCTCTCCGTTATGCATTGTTTGTGTAGTAGATCACCTTATTGCATATGTGTAGTCATCCGGATCAATAACCAAGAAGCTGAACTTCCGAAATATTTGGGGATCAAGATTAGTACTTCACATTTCATGGCCCTTTTCGAAAGGATGCCAAATGAATTGTACCTTTGAAGCTTTCAATCTCTTATTTCACACGTCAGAAACACTTGGTTACAATTCTGAATGCTCTAAGGAGATAGCCCCAAACATAACTGCATTGATATAAATAATCCTCTTGTGCTGTATGCATCCTCTTGTCACTTCCTAGAACAGCCACTATGTATAATTTTGAATAAAGGACTTGAAACAGCGAGATAGGAAGGCAGTCACAAAAGAGAATCAGGTTGACAGGTATCCTGATTGCTTATGTGACAAGAAAACAACATAAGAAAAGCTTGAAAAAAATAATGTGGTGAGAAAGAAAGGGAGGAACAACAAAAAGATGGAGAATGGTAGAAAAGGAACAAATCGAAGAACAAAAACAAAAGCAAGCAAGTGAAGCGAAGAATGGAAAGAGGGTCTTAACAGAAAGAGGAGTTATACAAGCATATGCAGTAGGTCAAGAACATATAAAAAGTACTAAAAGTTGCATGGCAGTCAATAATTTAGCAAACCAAGCAGGGCTCTGATAAAGATGTTTCACGGTTAACATTAAGCTTTAATAAGGTGACCTAATCTATAACATTATATTAGGATTAGAGTTAATAGTGTGATAGTTCTTCTTGTCCATCCAACGGCTATCAAGATGAATCCACAATATTGGCTTGCGTTCTCAAATTTGATCAATGAGTCAAAGGCTACCTTATCTATTCACTTGCTAATTTCACTATGAAAAAGAATTTATTCACTTGCACAAACAAGAATAGTTGTCCTCAGATAAGGATTGGGTTGTGGGGTTTTATGTTTCCAGGGAGAACAGATGTTAAAGATTTTTATCTATCTAGCTCAAGTTGATGAGTTCTGCAGGTGACAAGAGAGTTCAGGGTTCCAAAGAGTGGGGTAAAAAAGAAACAGATCTGTGCCATTTACGCCCATTTCATGGTGACGGTGCAAGGTTTGAGTTTCAGAAAGAAGAAAAACGAGGGGAACTCCACCATTTTAGGATCAAGGTTAGGTGTAAGTTGGATCCTGGGACATCAAAGTGAAGACCTGTCTTTAACCAAGCATTTTTATCTAGCCAAAGATTGTTAGCTCTGAGAGACTTAGGGAATGAAAATCATACAGAGAAATCGAATTCATAACTCACTATATTGCTTAGATGAAGATTCAGTCTCCTCATGTGCCCCAATATCAGGTTCTTTAGATTTATAGCTGGATGAGATTGACGTGCTATACTTGTGGACATCAACGCTATTAAAAGAACCAGCAATGTAACTTCCACATGAAATAATAGACTGCTCATTTCCAGCCTCCTGTGCATTCAGATTGGGTAGAACAGGCCTTCCCATGGAACAAATGAATTTCTGTTCTGAGACAGCTTTTTTTGCTGCATTAGTCAGAAATGGCTTCCGTATTTCGAAAGACAGGCTATCTTGGATTAATGCAACCTTACAGGGTATATGATCCAGATAGAACTTCAAATCCTTCCTTAAGTGCCTGTTAGAATAATTAAAAAATTAACTTTAATTATAACTGACAAAAAAGAAATAAGGAAAAGAAAAATTAGAATAGTGTTTATTGTGATAATGAATAGATTCTTTGATTTCCGGTCCATTCTGGCTTTTATCTCAACTCTAAATGCTGCCAGAAGAAAACTCTTGGATTCCCACTTTGATCTCTAATATCAATATTTATTGTTCTAGTAGATATCTTTAACACACCCCACTGACAATTTTAAGGCTATATATGTTACATTCCACTATGGTTGAGTAACACTGCCAACACACACAAACACGCACGCACGCACACACCCACACCCACAAGCACGCACGCACGCACACGCCCGTCCGCACGTCCGCAGGCGCGCGCGCGCACATTCGCGTGGATCCGGGGCCGCCCTAGGAGGACGTATGATGATTCGGCATCAATGAAGTAACATGTTACGTCAGACTTGAGTTCGCCGATCTGTAATTTGAACTTTATCTTTACTAACGGATTACTATTGTCAACGTTAAAGCCAAAGATCTTATGTCTGTGTGATAGAGTCGTCCCAATAGTATTTGAAGGAATTGTAGCATCCTCCTTATGATGATACTGATAGTAAACATAGGGTCAACTTGCATACGCTCTTAACTTCGATGAACCCAAGTACCCTGTGGAGTAAAGTGGCCTTGTATGCTTGAGGGACGGCATGAGCATCTCTCTTTCAGAAAATGTTACCATAGGAATGTCCCTCTCTACTCGGTGGCAACGTGTATACCAGTGGTCCTCTGTCTTTTCCTCTCACGGTTGAGTCTGAGTGAGGTAAGCTGTCAGGTCACTTAGAGCCTCCTATAATGCTGCTTTAACCTCCAGGGTTGAAGCAATTCCCAAAGTAAAACTCTTGTCAGAATGTTCGCAAATTGTGTTAGGATGTCGAATAGGCGTGATCACCTAGATCTATCTTGTTGCTACTTGCCCTTGGAACCACACGAAATGGTATCGCCATTGGGTTGGTTGTTAGGTCGACGGGAAGGGCTTGCTGTCCCTCTTGATCGATCAGGTTATATTGCGGGTAAAACAATCTACCACTCCTGAGTCCTTCCTTGGCATTCTGAGCCGTGATAGCTATTGCATCTCCACTTCTTGGAGTGCCTCGGCCATTGCTTCTTCTTTAGACGCGACAACTGCTACAACAACCTCCTCCTTTTGATCGGTGAGTTTGGGTACTAGCCCCTCATCGTGACTATAGAGGACTGTTACGATATTGCATATTTTCCCTTGGCTTTTGATCTTTTCAATGTAGTTTGGCAAAGGTCTATTGCTTGTCCCTCACAAGGTCAACGTGCACCCACATGAATTCTCCTTTAGAGAGTCACAAGGGTTAATCCCTTAGTCTGCTGACCGTGACGATCGTAATTGACAATTTTCAACTCTGCTTTTAGGATTAGTATTACCCCGTCTGCAGCATTCACGCTTGGTAAATCCCCAAATTGGACTGAGGTCATGTTTGTCAAAATTTGCTTCTAATCTTCTCTTAATTTCAACGATCCAACTTCATGTAAGGTTTGAATCTTTTCTTTCAACAAGATGCAGTCTTTCGAATGGTATCCTACAAAGCGGTGAAAGACGCGATAGTTTAGGTTGTTGGTGTGCCCTACTTCTTTTGGCCTCTTATGTCTCCCGAGCTTGATGAATCCTCTCTTGATTAGGTTTTATCCACTTCTGGGATTGCTTATTGCTTGTAGACATAAACTCTATTGAGGTCTGGCTTGAATTGATTTTATCATTGTGAGGAACCTATCCATTGATACTGCCTAAGTGGAGGTACTCAGTTGTAGCTTGGGTTGGCATTAGGAAGGTATTTATTGTTCACATTCCAGTTGCCAATTTGATATTGTTCAGCCATCTTGGTAGTTATAGCTGAGGTCGCGGTGCATCGATAGTCATCACTACCATAGCCTTCAAATCTTGATTAGCTCTTTTCAAGTTTTGGATTCGACGACCCCGAATTGCTTAAGAATGTGATCCGATAAGCCGTTGCGACAAGCCTCAATGAAGAACTTATTGGACATTGCGCCCTTCAACTTGAGGCCGAGTTGGTGGAATCTCTCAATGAAGAACTTATTGTAAAACCCCGTAATTTTTGATATATTATGATAAATATCATTTCTTTGATGATTAAGTATGCTAGAAATTGATTTTAGATCGATTAAATACATATAAGTGTGTATATAAGTGTGTATATAAGAGTACAGGAACGAATCATGCACAAAACCATGCATGTCAATCTGTGATCTGTTCGGTCGACCGGCCTAGGCCGATCGGTCGACCGATGATACCCGACCGGTCAATCGATGCCTTATGGTGGGTCGACCGACGGGCTTCCAAATCTCCAGTGTTCCGTTTTCGGGTCAATTTTGTTCGACTTCGAGCTCAGTTGTATACCTGAGTATATATACTCGTTTTAAGCCTCTTTTGATCATCTTTCACGTGATATATCAGCAGCCACCTTCTCTCTCAAACCCTAACCCTAGATTGTGAGTTTCTGGGAGTTTTCTCGAGGCATTTGTCGAGAGGAAGACAGAATTCGCGATCTTAGTGAAGGAGGATCTTGCACGCACGTCTGTTTAGGAGTTTCAGCACAGCGTTTGAGGGCATCTTCCTCCCAATGTTTTAAATGTCGGATATCGGGTTTATGTCGGACGACTGAAATCCATGTCGGATAGCGAAAATCGGGGATATATAGGGGGACATGAACTAAATATCGGATTGCCATATCGGATGATGAGCATATGTATAATATCATGTCTTAAATGTAATCTAAGCATTTCTAAATTCAATATAAGCATACTTTATAAATTCTAGAGGCAGTGCCGACGAAGGATGGATTCTGACGTCGCAGGGAGGCAGTGTTGGGGCTATTTTTCTTCTTCTTCTTCTTCAGCTCAGGGTCATTCGAATGAGTCATCGACCACCCTCTTCCCTTTATCCCGACGACGGGATACTCTGCCATCCTCTGGTTCGGTTGGGGTTCGGATTTCGGGACGCAACAGGAGATGGACGACGGGGGGCCGAGATGGAGGTAGGGGAAGGACGTCGTCGTTCACGAAATGAGTGATGGATTTCCAAGTCCGTTGCAGTCCTAATTTTTCTCTTTTCTTTCTATCGGGTTCATAAGAAACCCTTAACATGAGAACGGGTCAAACAGGTTTGGGTTTTTATCACTAAACCCAAACCCGATAAAAAAATAGATCTAAAAAAAAGGATCATATCGGTCGACTTTTCAAAGCTAAAAAATCGGCTGATATAACACCGATATTTTCGATTTGGCCCTGAAAACTGACATACGAGTTAAAAACACCATGTCGTGTCGCTCAAGCCCTCAAACTGACATGTCGGCCGACGTGTCCGACATGTCGGCCGACATTTAAAACCTTGCTTCCTCCAAACCTTTCCTTATAGTAACTCATGATTTAATGTGTTTAATTGATTAATCTATTGCTTAAAGTTTAATCTGATGTGATAAAACCTAGTTTTATGATGTTAAATCTTAAACCAATGAAAATATATGTAATTTAAATCTCTTCTTGATAAGAATAGTTGATCATGATCATTAGGGTTGTCTTTTAATTTGTTAATTTCGTTTTAATTTGCTTCGAAACCCTAATTAACCAATTTAAATGATAATTTTGTTAACTAAAATGTTTAAACCCTAAGTATGTGATGTCCTGGTGATGTGATTCTTGTTTAAGCTAATCTATAACTGTGTAATGATTAGAATTAATCATGTTTATTAATCATGTTATTAAAAATATGTTGTTAATTGAGAATTTTGTTAATTGGAATGTTAAACCCTAACTGTTTAATTTCAAGAGATGTAACCATGTTTAATTTAACCATTGTTGAGTAATCATGAAAGTTAAATCTTGTTTAACCTTGCATGCTAACAAATTTATGTTGTTGAGAAAGTTTCAATACACAAAACCTGATAATAAAACCGATTGCATCGCCAAGGTTTTTAAACCCTTTCTGGCCGGTCGACCAATAAGGATCAATCGGTCGACCGATAAGGATCAATCGGTCGACCGATGAGGTCTTACAATGCATTTTGTGCACGTTTGCCGCCGGTCGATCGATGCTTTATAGCGGTCGACCGATGCCTTGTTTTGCTCATGATGATTTTCTCTTGTGTGCTTAATCGTGAACGCGGGGTTCGAGCCGTACGACGACACACGTGCAACCATAGATGTACATGAATTGAGTCATAACACATATACGGATATCCCAAAGAGGATTATTATAGGTGTTATTTTGATCATGTTTGAGTTAACAATTAATTATAATGCGTATGCATGTATGGATATCGTTGATGAGCACAGCTCGATATTACTTGGGATAGTGCGTCGATATGTCGTTAGTACGGGCCATTGAGCCGTGATTTTAGGATACCTGATTTGGTAATCCATCTCGCACGGTGATGCGATGAGGCTAGAAAGCCGTACTTCTAAGATACCTAGTGTGGTAGTCCGTCCCGCACGATGATGCGATGAGACTAATGAGCCGTGTACATATTTAGGATGCCTGATTCTGTAGTCCGTTCCGCATGATAATGCGATGAGTTATAAAACCTTACGAGATATTATTTGTGATATATCTAATAGTCTGAGTCTTTGGTGGAAGCCATTTATGAATATGATTCATCGTTGAGTTATATTGTGACCAGATTACATCGCATTTAGGAGTTACAAGAGATTTAGTTCTTGTATCCACATCATCTACCTAAGGGTAGCACGAATTATATGGTCGATATTTATGATATTGCGGCAACTTTACTTTTTTGTTTTGCTTTCCTTTATCTTTTATTCATAGTTTGAAATTGATATTTAACGATTCATAATTTAAGACATATGGTATATACATGAGGATTTTCTTGTTTGGATTATTTCGCTCGACATACTACGTCTCGTGTTGTGGGTTTCTAGATATTAATCCTATTTAGATATAGGATAAATAAT